GTCAATTAGTACAAAATTAGGGAGGATCTGTTCGTATATCTCAATAGTGAATTTTTCAATAAATTCACAATTTATTCAATCATCTCCCCAAAAGCCACTCATTTAGATACGCGCGCAGCAGTGGAGAAAAATATATATCTATCCCGAAAAGCTGACAATTTATTGTTGTATTTATTGTGTTATTAACAAAAGACGAAGACGAAGAACTCATAATGCTGGAGAGACAAACTCTTCCAGGGTGGAATTTAAGTGTTTCAGCTGGATTCTCTGAGGCAAAGCAGCAGCAATTCTCACCACTCAAGAGCCACTCCTGGAATGGTTGACAAAAGCTCCACTTGTGGATTATCTCTGTCCACTTCTTCTTCAGTTTCTGCTGGACGTGAATTTCGGTGGAGGAGATAAAAGAGTCGCTCTTCGGCACACAAATTTCCATAAAACTGCGCGAGGAAATCACAGAGTGTCTCGCAGGCAATCGCAGAGAGTGTCTATGAGGAAGAAGAAGCTCAAATATGCAATCATTAATCACCCCAAGTTAAGTGCCCAATTAAAGGCATTTATCCCAGCCAAGGGGCAGACACTACGGTCGGAAGTGGTGTACAGCTCTTGTGGAAGTGTTTGGGAATTGAAAGTGGTAAAATATTTGGAATATTTGCATAGAAAATGCTTCAATTTCAACAAATTGAGGCATTTTCTATATAATTTTACTTAGATTAAATGAATTTTATTGCTTTTCTAGGTTATGTGATTGATTTAAAACAGATTCTGTCGATTTAACAACCCTCAAAGTCATCAAATTTGTGCTTAAGCTGAGAATATTTCCCTTTTTCTCCACAGAATTGGGCAATTTTATTCGAAAAAACTTGATATTGATTGAGAAAAAGCTTCAAAGTCAATCATAACCTCAAAAAACCCAATTTCAGTCTAGAATAATGTTTCTCTGCTGATAAATTCAACGTAAATGTCTAGAAACATTCAGATTTTCACTATATTTACTCATTTTCAGGTTTATAAAGATCTAATTTAGCCTAAAAAGGATTTTTTAAGTCCAATTCATAACCTCACATTTTAGTTAGAATTTTTCAAAGCATTTTCTGAAGGCAAATTGTGAGGTTATGATTGTGATAAGTCAGAATTTAGTGTGAGAAACAGTTAAAGATGCCTAAAAAGCGATGAAAAATGCCCTAAAAGACGTTCAGAAGTGTCTTAAGTGTTGAAAATTCTGCAGAGAAATTGTGGTGTACAGATTTGAGGCATACTGTCTCCCCCTTGATTCCATCGATAGAAAGGTCCGCGAATGTGCGCGTAAATCGAGGACGAGTCCGTTAGACATTGAAGTCTCTGGCGGAGAGATTTAATGGTGAGAGGATGAGTCCAGGAACTGCATTTGGAGGGAATTGAGCGCTGATTAATTCCCTGGGACATTAACATTTTGAACTGGCCAATTAGCATATTACACATCTTGTCCCGCATCCACCTGAGCATCTTCTGCCCCTCGCGTGAAATTTGACTCCGCCGTGGTGGTTTCTCTACGAGCTCGATGACAAAGAGACAGAAATATGGCCTTAGAACAGCACATTTTCTCTTTGGGTGGTAAATTGTCGACTAAATGGCCACTTTGACTTCCATTCACACACCACGAAAAACCATCATGAGACAGTCCATAACTTAGCATTTGACATTTTGCATAATGTACACGCCGCGATTCGACAAATTCTCACACAAAACTCCAACGCATTTTTTCTCCTCCATTGCACTTCTCCACCTGTGAGGCATCTTCCAAGCCATCCTGAGCTCATGTGTTGACATTAAAATCTGCATATGGAGCGAATATGTGCCACGCGAGAGACCCAGAACGAATCCATCTCAGGCGATCGGCGAGTCAAGCATAGAATTAGAGATGTCAAATGTCGTTATGTGTTAAAATTTTATAACTCTTCTCTCTCTGTCTTGTGCAGCTTGAAAAATATCTTTACACGCCTATTGACCCCATTTCCAGCCACGGATTCCTCAGTCTTCGCCATTTGGCCGCAAACCGCAGCTTTTTACATCTTCACCAGCACTTCCATTGTCATCCTGGGTTGACTTTCGCAATGAATTTCTCTCGCTCAGTGATTAAATTAAATTATATTTCCACTCTTGTCATAAGCATTGAATTTGAGGGACTTTTTTAACACTCGCAAGAACTTGCTGCGCTACTTTTCAGTGCTTCTGGAGACGATTTGGCACGAAAGAACAGCCTTTAATCGCTTTTCAGCCATCTTTCCTGCTCATAACCTAAAAAAAACAGCATTAAGAAACCTTAAAGGAATGTTGAAAACATTTTAAATATACAAATTATATGTTTTTAACCGTCGCAATTCTCTTTAAAGCCCCAAATTGAAGATTAAACCTCAAAATTTAATGAAAAAGAAGCTCTAAAATGAACATTAATTAAATCTGAATCACAATTTTGTACAATTTGTACCTTTTTTTACTAGATAAAAATTAATATCGTTGTTTTTATTGTATGGAAACGCTTAATTCTGTCAATAAATAAGGATGTTTCCACTTTAAGTGTGAAAATTCATGTTTTTGGCGGTTATTTGCTTACTCAATCTAGCTTCAATTAGACACATAACCTAGAAAATTACTCTGATGAATTTTTCTTGAAGACAAATTGAAAGAAATTCAATTTCTTACCCAAAAAATGTATCAATTAAGCGACTTTCTAAGCAGAAATATTGCAAATATTGAAACACTTCCACTTCTTAAGCACTTCTAACCATAATATCTCTCCCTTGTATCGCCAGGAATCTGAATTAAGTACACAAATAGCGAAGTAACCATTAAGTGGTCAGAAAAACCAAGACTTTGCGCGGTATTTTTGCCCGTCTAAACCTTTCCAGCGTTGATTTGCTCCTCAGCTTCACGATGTGAAATTTCATCTTGGTCACCAGCATGAACAAAACCCCGTTTATTGACCATTCAATGAAAGAATGCATAATTAATTGCTTTAGTTTTTTTTTCACAATTAGACTCTTGGTCACTGGCCGCTATTGCAAGAGTTTGTTTGGCTGAAAAATTGCCTCAATTTATCTCCGCTTCTTCTGTGAAAATGAAAATTTGCATACGAAAGTGCTGAGATGCTGGCCAGCATTAGAAAGATGAAGAAAAAAAACTGACTCGCATGTTAAAAAGAAATGCCACAATTGATCCTCTATAGCTTTGCTTTCTATATACGCGAGAAGGTGGATCAGCTGAGATGAAGAAAAAAAAAGACTTTCACTCCTCAAGCAATTTCCTGTGTTGCAATACAATTAATTCCAAATATAATGGGATGAGTCCCTCCCTCGGAGTCAACATAAGATGAAGTGATGTTGAGAATAGATGCAGAAACGACAATTTAATATTGGGGATTTATTTGCCAATATGTGAAAAATCATACCAAGGAGTGGCGCCTCTTCATAGTGGGCAGATTTCTGCGATTGTATCCAAGCATGAGAAATTCAAAATATAATTTCGAATAATCGCCTCACGATGCCATGCGATCTCTGAGACTCAGTTCCAACCAGCTGAGAAGTGGGAAAAAACCGCCCAAACCATCTCTGTCTTCAGGAGGTGTCGATTATTGCAAAATACGACGACAGAGATTCGCACGCAAATTGACACAATATTCCTGGTGGGAAAAGTTTTGCTGTGGCGCGGAAAAAGAGGTCAGAAGATGATTTCCGCGTGCGCGCGGAATTGGAAACTGCGCTTTTGGGCGATAAATCAAGCAAAAAGCTGCCAAGGCAGGTGAATAGAGGCCTTTTTCCTTCTCCACACACTCGCTCGCCTTCATCTCGCCAATCGATTCCATAGATTCGGGGCTCCGCAGATCTTCTGGCGATTCGCAAGGGGGAGATAAGACAGTCAGAAGTGGTGTACAACTCAGCGGAAGTATTATAGGAAGTCAATGAGTTTTTTGTCCTAAATGCTTCTTTTACTGTCAAATTGGTTCGATTCTTTTCATTTCATGTCATTTTACGTATTGAAACAATCGTAAAATACAATTTTGAGGTTATGAAACGAATAAAGGACTGATTAAGTGATAAAATCGCATTCAAATACATCAATTCTTATACTAAAATCCAATTAGCTGAAGCTTTGATGTCAAGAAACACTTCAAATTGTGCTAAGATCGAACATAACCTCCAAAATATTCATTAAGACATGGAAAATGTCTATTTAGAAAACTTTCTGAATGATTTTTTATTCTGAATCAGCAATTTTGAGTTCATCTGCGAGTAATAACAAATAATTTTGTGATCTGCGAGGCTTCCAAACGAAGTTTCTTAAGTTCTTTCGGTGATATTTTGAGGTTATGTTCGGAAAAATGCCCACAAAGGGCGATTTTAAGTGAATTTGTACAAAAATATCGCATAGAATTTACAAATTAATATTGAAACAGACTAAAAATTTCAAATTCTAAAATGTTAAGTAAAAATTTGGTAGTATTTGAAAGTGGTGTACTGATTTAAAGCATATTATCTCCCCCTTCAGAGATTCTTTCTCTACGCAAAATGCGCGATTAATGAGGTGTTAAAGTTCTGCAGACGACAGAAAGTTGTATTGTTTGGTGAAACTTCATAGTTAAACTGATTGAAATTCATGTAAGAATGAATTAATTTCACTGTAATTTGAAATTGAAATGCACTAACAGTGTTTTTTCTTCAGTTTGTTTTCACTTATATTCCAACGACATTATATAGAGTATTTAAAATATCATTAAACTATTCTTCAATAGAACATAGCTGGAATTTTGTGTAGATCTTGACATGAGGTCAAAAGTCTCTTAGTTTGGGCTCCAAACTATTTGCATTTGGATTTGAATGGCAATTTGTGTACGCGGAAGAGTATAAATAGCGCACTTTTGGCCATTTGCTGTCCAGTAGTGATTCTTCAGTGCTCCTCAGTGCCTAAAATTGTGGATTAATCCTTCACCTGTGCTCCTGAACAGTGGACTAAAGTGACTGTGCAAGATGATTTACGGCAGAGAACCCACGGACTGGACGTGCAGAAAGCAGGCCAACAGTCCTGAGGAGGAGATTGTGATCACTGGGATTTCCGGGCAATTCCCCAAAAGTCTCAACATCTTGGAATTGGCCAGGAATCTCTACGCCAAGGCGGACATGCTGGAGGACACGGATCCTGTGTGGAAGAAAGCCTGTCCGGAACTGCCTGACAGGCTGGGCAGGACGGGAACCGTCACTAAGTTCGATGCGCCCTTCTTCGGCGTGCACTACAAGCAGGCGAACCTGATGGATCCGTCCACAAGATGCTCCCTGGAGTGCGCCTACGAAGCCATGATCGACGCCGGCGTCAATCCTTTGAGTCTGCGCGGCAGCAGCACAGGAGTCTTCATCGGATCGTCCTATCTGGACATGGACAAGATCTTCTACAATGACAAATTGGTCGGCGGCGGTTTCTCCATCACCGGGTGAGTCATCGCGACTCTGCGGGGTTAATTTAGATTAGAAATTCTAAGTAATTTATGCCGAAGTGTGTGAGAATTACAAGTATTATTAACCTAGACCCGGATGTGTATATGATTAACTCCGAAGTATTGTCCAAAATAACAGTGAAAAAGACGCTACTGTGGCAGCCATCTTTGATTTTTAGACTCTTCAAATCAAATTTACATCTTACAATCTTGTAGATTCTCTTAAATCCACTAAAAAGTGCAAAATATAGTAGAACAGCTTGTATTTCACTCGTATTTTAGCCTTTTTATTTGCAAAATGTGAAACAAATGTTGTTGGCGTCGGGCTGCCATTTTGAATGATCATTCGAAGCGAATTTTTATTATTTTTAACTTATCAACAGCTGCAACAGAGCCATGATGAGCAACAGAGTGTCCTACATCTTTGATCTGCAGGGAATATCAGCTCACATTGACGGCCTGAACAACACCAGTCTGTCCGCAATGGATGTGGCCTATTCGGCAATAAGGAACGGCCAGTGCGATGCCGCCATTGTTGGCGCAGCGCACGCCATCTTGCATCCTTACGTGACAGTTCAGCTCGCCCAGACCGGCGCAGCGACGAAGAGTGGCGTCACGAGGACATTCGACGAGGGCCTCAATGGTTCCACCAACAGCGAAGCCACTTGCTGCGTCTTCCTGCAGAAAGCCAAGGACGCGAAGCGCATCTACGCCAGACTCGTGCACTCCAAATCGGCCTACACGGGAAACATGGAGGACGGCATCACGATTCCTTCCATGGAGATGCAAGTGAAGCTGCTGAACACGTTCTACGAGGAGATCTCGATGAATCCCGCGGATGTGTCTTACGTGGAGACGCACAGCGAAGGACTGCTGAAGTACGACGTCGTGGAATTGGATGCGCTGGACAAGGTGTTCTGCAAAGGACGGAAGACGCCGCTCAAAGTGGGCTGCGTCAAGTCCAACATTGGCAACACATTGCCTAGCGGAGGAATGTGTGGCATCGCGAAGGTGATCATCGGGATGGAGAATAGCGCCATGCCGCCCAACATCAATTACTCCAAGCCGCATCCTGACTTCAAGGCGCTGGTCGAGGGCAGGATGGAAGTCGTGACGGAGGCTGAGGAGTTCAGAGGCAAGCACGTCGCTGTGAACTCAGTTTGCTACACTGGAGGACTCTCGCACATCCTGCTGGAGAGCGTCGCCAAGGAGAAAGTGAACAAGGGACAACCCGATGACGATCTGGCTCGTCTGATCACCTGGTCAGGCCGGACTGAGGAGGGCGTCAGTGAGATCTTCGAGTTCATGGCTGACAATCCGCTTGATGCCGAGTTTGTGGGTCTTGTGCATGAGATTCAGACGGAAAACATCTCCAACAACATGTTCCGAGGATTCGGAATCTTCGAGAAGGGCGTCGACGGAGGAAATGCAATTTCCCTGGAGCAGAGCGTTAAGCATTTCCCAGGAGTCAAGCGTCCCATCGTGTGGCTGTTCAGCGGCATGGGAAGCCAGTGGACGCAGATGGGAAGCTCCCTCATGAGCATTCCCATCTTCAGGCAATCCATTCAGCACTGCCACGAAGTCCTTCTGCCGAAGGGTGTGGATCTGATCGGGTTGCTCACTTCGGACGATCCGACGACCTATGACAACATCCTGAACTCCTTCATCGGCATCGCCGCTGTGCAGATCGCCATTGTCGATATCCTCAGAGCTCTTCAGATCTATCCTGACATCATCATCGGTGAGTTTCTCTCGAATCTAACCATCCTGGCCAGGATTTCATCGTCGATCTTCCCTTTCCAGGTCACTCTGTTGGCGAATTGGGCTGTGCTTACGGCGACGGATGCTTGACAGCCGAAGAGATGATCCTGTCGGCCTATTCCAGAGGCAAAGTCAGCGTGGAGACGGAGAAGATCTTCGGCTCCATGGCCGCTGTTGGCTTGGGCTACAAGAACGTCCGCAAAATCCTTCCGCCTGACGTCGAAGTGGCGTGCAGGAACAGCAGCACATCCTCCACCATTTCCGGTCCCGCAGCTTCGGTGGAGGCTTTCGTCGGCGAACTGAAGAACAAGGGAATCTTCGCCAAGGAAGTGCCGTGCTCAAACATCGCCTACCACTCGCGCTACATCGCGGACATGGGACCGAAGCTGCTGGAGCTGCTGACGGAGGTCATCCAGGAGCCGAAGAGGAGGTCAGAGAGGTGGCTGAGCACCAGCGTGCCGCAGGCGAAGTGGAAGGATGAGCAGAGTCAGTACAGCTCGGCTGAGTATCACACCAACAATCTGCTGAATCCCGTTCTGTTCGAGGAGACCTTCTCGCTGATCCCCAACAACGCCGTCACCATCGAGATTGCTCCTCATGGACTCCTGCAGGCCATCATCAAGCGCTCCAAGCCTTCGGCGATTCACGTTCCGCTGACGCTGCGCGGAACCAAGAACAACGCAGCGTTCTTCTTGGGCGCTCTTGGGAAGCTGTACATGAATGGAATCAACTTTCCGCTCCAGAATCTCTATCCGCCTGTCGAGTTTCCGGTCTCGAGGGGAACTCCAATGATTTCTCCGCACATCCAGTGGGATCACACGGCAGATTGGTACATTGCGCCCATTGACGAAGACTACAAGCACAAGCCCGCTCGTCATGTCCTGAACATTAACACAGATTTGCCAGAGTACAAATTCGTACAAGATTACAAAATGGATGGTAATTATTTCTGTGCTTCCAGAACTAAACTCTTAGACTGATGAAATTATGACTTCTTCCGTAGGAAAGCTTTTATATCCTGTTTCTGGATTCATCAGCGCTGTTTGGAAGACTTTTGCCGCTTACAAGGAAGTGAATTTCTACGAAATGGACGTTGAAATGACGCAGCTTAGAGTATTCCAAGAGATTGACTTAAGTGCTGAGAAGGAGAGAGAAATCCTGGTACTAATTCATCCAGGAACAGGAAATTTTGAGGTAATTTTGGAGGAAATCCTTAGAGATTTATTATAGCTTCTCTTCCTTGTCAGGTTTCTGAGGACAATTCAGCTATTCTCTCAGGAAATATTCAGCTTCTTGAGGAGGAACAGTATGAAGACTGTTTTCCAGAAGATTCCTCGTCTGATTGCATTGCTCTGACGCCAAAGGACTTCTACAAGGAACTCTATCTTCGCGGTCACGAGTACAGAGGCGTCTTCCAGACGGTCTGCGAAGCCAAGAGCGACGGAAGTGAGGCAAAGGTGAAGTTTGAGAACAACTGGATGACTTTCCTGGACAGTTTTCTCCAGATTGCCGCTTTTGACCAGGACACCAGAGACCTGAAACTGCCCAAATCCATCCGCACGATCAGAATCAGACCTCAAGAGGTGCTGAAGATCACCGAAGAGAATCAAGGCTTCCATCAAGTGAAATTCTGCAAGGAACTCAAGACAATCTCAACTGCAGGACTGGAAGTTGTGGACTTGAAGATGAAAACTGTGCAGAAGAATCGGGAGATTGGAAAGTCAGTCTCGGAATATTACAAATTCATCCCTCATCTTCCGGCTCCGCAGCTTTCAGCTGTCAATGCTGCTCGTGTGTGCGTCCAGAGCGTCCTGGACAATCACCATTCGGCGGTGGTGAAGATCGTTGAGGTGGATTCAAGTGAATCTTCCCATGAGATTCTCTCGCACTTCAGAGACGCCATTGAAGACTTGTCCATGGCTCGAGGAATGCTGATTTACCTGTCGTCCAAGAAGGTGCAACTGAAAGACATTCACGTGGAAGATGGCGAGCTGAAGACGCAGAAGAACTGCAACATCATCATCGCGAAGCAGTGCTTCAGCGATGTGAGATTCCTCGAAGAGTCCCTGAAGAGTCTCAGCAATGGAGGATATTTGATTTCCCGCGAGGAGAAATCCATTGAGTTGAAGAATGTGACTTCAATTGCGGATCTGAAGCTGATCTTCTTCCTGCCGATGGAGAGTGAGACTCTGGTCGTCTTCAAGAGGTCATCGCGGAAGATTCCGCCCAACACGAGTGTCTTTGAAGTCCCACAATCTGGAGTCACGCAAGAGTGGCTGAAGAACGTGAAGCAAGCCGGAAAGTTCGGTTCTGTGACTTTGATGTCCAGCAGAGACTCAAATCCTGGCATCTCAGGTCTCGTTGATGTGCTGAGGAAGAAACTTCCTGGGCAGGATGTCAATTACTTCTCCATCGAGGACAAGAAGTTCAGCGATGTGAGCTACAAGAATCAGTTGAAGATGAGTCTGGCCACGAATGTCTTCCACGACGATCAGTGGGGAAGCTTCCGCTGGCTGAAGCTTCAGGATGAGCCCAAAGGGACCGCCGAGAATTGCTTCGTGGAGTTCTCATCGCCAGACAGAGCTCTCAAGTGGAGCTCACGAAGTCTTCCTGGAGGAACGCAGCGGAATCTCGTGAATGTGATGTTCTGTGGGCTGAATTTCAGGGATAAGGAAATCGTGTCCGGCGAATATCCTCTGGAGGAGACTGGCTTGTCTCGCCGCGACAGCGCGATGGTGTTGGGATCAGAGTTCGCCGGTGTGGATCAGAAAGGCCGGCGCGTGATGGGAATCCTTCCGCACGGCGCTCTGTCCAATCAAGTCCTGGCAGACGATTTGCTCTCATTCCCAGTGCCTCAGCACTGGTCTCTGGAGGAAGCAGCCACAGTCCCAATGGCGTATCTCACGATCTACTACGCCTTCTTCATCCAGACGTCCATCAAGGCGGGGACGAAGATTCTGATCCACTGCGGCGCCGATGAGTTGGGAATTGCGGCGATTCGAGTGGCTCTGGCTTATGGCTTAGACGTCTTCACGACTGTGAACTCGCCTGAGAAGAAGTCCTTCCTCCTGGCCATGTTTCCTGCCCTGAAGGAGGATCAAATTGGGAGCTCAACTGACGATCTCAGCTTCGAGAAGATGATTCTGGACAAGGCGAAGCCATTCAAACTCCATTACGTCTTTAACACACTCAAAGGCACCAACATTGCAACTTCTGCTCGATGCCTGGAAATGACTGGAAAATTCATGCAAATGGGAAAATTCGACATGATTGAAAACAGTGGTTTTGGTATGTTTGCCTTCCTTCAAGAGATTGAATTCCAAGCAGTTGAAATTAAAGGAATCTTCAGAGAAGATTCTGACTTCAGAGAAGTAAGTAAAATTCTTTGACGATTGAATTGTAATTCTGTAGAAAAATCACTTGTTTCAGGACATCGTGAAGCGCATCCAGGAAGACATCAGAAAAGGAGTGATTCAACCAATTCCGGCAACTGTCTTCAATGCAGATGACGTCAATGAGGCTTTTAGCTACTATTCCAGCGAGGAACACATTGGAAAAGTGCTTTTGAAGCTTCGAGAGCAAGAATCCGACAAAAACACTCTTCTCACAGCAATTTCTCCCAGATTTTCAGCTCTTCCTGGAAGTTCTTTTGTCGTTTTCGGTGGTTTGGATGGTTTTGGATTTGAGTTTGCCGATTGGTTGATTGTCAGAGGAGCGCGGAAACTCATCCTCACGTCCAGCGGAAAGACGCTCAGCAATTATCAACTCTATCGCATAAAGTGAGGAGTTTTTTACAGGACAAACTGAAGCCAAGACTGATCTTTGATGATTTCTTTCAGACTCTGGCAGAGTTACGGCGCTCAGATTGTCTACAGACTGGAGAATAATGGTTCCCGGACGGATTGTCTGGAACTTCTGGATCTCGCCCGGAGGTTGGGGCCGATTTCTGGGATCTTCAACACTTCGCTGTGCAGCGCGTGGAACGGAGATGAGTTCTTCGAGGCCAGCGCAGCGGAAATCAGTGTCTCTTCCACGAGGAACTTCGATGAATTGTCGCGGAAGTTCTGTCCAAATCTCTCACACTTTGTCATCTTCTCGCGCAGATCGCTGGACGCTGAAGATGTGCAGCAATGCAATGCTGCATTGTTGCTTTCGCTGGCCGAGAAGATCGTCCGGGAGCGAGTGACGCAAGGATTTCCGGGGAAAGTCATTCACTGGGGATGTCTTGAGGGTCAGAGGGCTGAGGAGGGCATGCTGAGCCAGAAGATCTTCTCGTGCCTGGCAGAAATCGATAAGCTGATGTTCAGCGAGGAATCTGTCATCCTTCACACGATCCTGGACAAAACCACTTCCAAGACATTCTGCATTCTCGACACAATCAAGAAGGCTCTCGAGCTGAAGAAGATCAGATCCTTGGATGACAATATTAGGAGTTTGGTGCAAGATGTCGAACTGATTCTGGTCCTGAAGAGGCAGATCCTGAGAGAGTTTGGCATCAACTTCGCTGAATACCAAATCCGCAGGATGACTCCTCGTCAGCTCATGACCACTGTCAGCGAGCGAGCGCGAGAAAAGGAAGGCGAGCTGATCCTGACAAATGACAGGAAACCAAAGGGACTGGAAATGCTGCTGCAATTCCTCAAGGACGGCAATTCGACTGTGGAGAACAAGATCTCAAGGGTTCCGAGTCGCGACAGAACGCTGAAGTACAATGCTTGCGTGCTCCTCATTCCGGGTCTCGTGGAGATCCTGGACGAGGATCTGCGACAGCTGAGCATCAACATTGCGCTGCCAGTGTTCTCTCTCCACGTGACTGAGGACATTGGGCTGCTGTCGATTCCCGAACTGGCCAGGAGCCTTTTGCCGGTCATCAAGAGAGACGCGCTGAAGATGTCCGAGATGTTCTATCTCGTGGGTTATTCCTTCGGCGTCTTCCTCACGCTGGAGCTGGCCAGACTGCTGGAAGCGGAGGGAATGACTGGCCAAATCCTCCTGATCGATGGCGCGCCGGAGTTCTTCAAGCTTCTCCTCGCAGAGCAACTCGGCGAGAACGCCACTGAGCAGGACGCTGAGGAGCTGATCCTGGAAAACATCCTGCGCATCGTGTTCCCAGGGGAGAATCCCAAGGAAGTCTGGGGTCAGTTTAGGGCGCAGAACTGGCGGGAGAGCGTGAAGCATCTGCTGGAAGTGTGCAAGAGTCAACACGTTTACTCTCAAGACTTCCTTAAGTACATCGCGGAGTTCCTTCATCGCCGTCTTCGTCACATCCTCGCGAGTGATTCAGGCAAAGTCGAGCCTGTGAACTGCCCGATAACGCTTGTCAGACCCACGGACGCTTCCGTGACGGACATTGAGCGGGATTACGGAATGGCGCAATGGACGAGAGACAAATTTCACCTCAGATTCATCGATGGCGATCACGTGTCAATGCTGAGGAATAAAAGTCTTCAGCGGATCATCGATGAATTCGATCCTCGGCTGAAGTCAAAGAGAGAATTTGAGGAATACCTTGGCGTCTAATCATCTTGCAACTCATGAAGTTTCTTTCCAGGCAGTGGGATTTATTGGAATAAAGTTTGTTTTTCTCGCAAATTGACACACAATATTCCTGGTGGGAAAAGTTTTGCTGTGGCGCGGAAAAAGAGGTCAGAAGATGATTTCCGCGTGCGCGCGGAATTGGAAACTGCGCTTTTGGGCGATAAATCAAGCAAGAAGCTGCCAAGGCAGGTGAATAGAGGCCTTTTTCCTTCTCCACACACTCGCTCGCCTTCATCTCGCCAATCGATTCCATAGATTCGGGGCTCCGCAGATCTTCTGAAGATGTTCTTGCGTCGGAGAAATGCAAACCTGTTGCACAGATAATTCGAAGATTGCCTTGCAAAGAGACCAGCTATATGTTAACGATGAATCTGAGATATCTTTTGATGAGAACATTTGAAGCATTTTGTTCGTGAAAATGGTGCCAGAAATGGGATTTTGTGACTCAAAAAAGTATAAAAATTCTTGAAATTTATTCTACAAAGTGAAAAAGTGTCATAGAAGTCAAAAATCACTCACAGATTTAGTGAGATTCACATGAAAACACATGGAATGTCTTAAGAAAACGGATTTGTCAATTAAATTCTCTGAAGTTCCCTGAAAATAAGAAAGCTTTCAATCCCAAAAAGTCACTCTAAGAATTGTCTGCAGCTTGTGTGAAGACCATCGAAGCGCAGTGATTCGATTTAGGCCAGGAAAGGAGCCCACCTTAATAGCCCAGTCACCTGTCTGCATCGCGGTGCCAAGTCGGCAACGGTACGTGCCAAACGGTAAAGTACAACGCGACGACAATTGCGAAGAAGCGCATTTACCATTCAAATTGATTGTGGACGTTTAAATGTAAAATACTGACTCTCCTTCCTCACGGACTTCGCCATCAGAGCGCAATGCGGTGAATTACAATAATTCCGCCCCGCGTGGATTATCTCTTGGAGGCGAAAAAAAGAAGGAAAAACCTGTGCAAATTGTCATCCATTCGAGTGCATTTGAGTACGCGCGCGAGCGCGGGAAAAACAGCGGAACATGAAAGTCTCTGGATGCCGAAGAAGTTTTGCCTGTTCAAATGGCTTAAGAAGCTCCCAATATATAAATTGCTAAATACATACACTTCGGATGCAAGACAGGCGCGCATTCCGCAGTGAAGATGAGACTTGTTGCATTTTCTTGTACCGTCACCTCATCTGAGAAAGTTGCCGAGTGGCTTTTTTTTTACTTGCCATTCGCCTGGACACTATTTTGTCGAGGCATTGCTGCTTATGAAGACACCAAAGTCGTCCCACAAACGCTGGCCTTCCCAGCCAATTTCGCATTGCCCGCGCGATTGGTTAATGTGTTTGCAATTGTAATATTCAAATCGGGCAGCTTCTTGCGCTGCCAAGACGATCTTTGGAGTGCGACTCACGGCTAAAGAGCCTCTCCCACGGGCGACCAATTTGGCTGCAAAGGCTTCTTCAGTTTCTCTTTTATGATTTCTCAAATCTGCCCATGATAAATGATCACTCCAAGGGGCAGATTTTATGGCCGGAAGTCGTGTACAACTCAGCGGAAATTATATTCCCTTCCTGAATCCTTTTTTCACCGCTAAATTATCCCAATCACGATAACAAGAGTCTTTTTTTTAGGTTATGTAGTGAATCAAGGACAAATTTAGTGAATAATCCACATTCTAGCTCATCAATTCTTGTGCTCAAGTTTAATTAATCATTTTCATGCAATAAACAATGCTTTTTTGAATATTTAATGCCGAAAAACACTCCAAATTGTGTTGAGGTGGAATATAACCTCAAAAAATAGTCATTTAGACGTAGAAAATTGTCATTTTAACAACTTTCTGATTGATTTTTAGTCTAAATCAGCAATATAAAGTTTCTTGGCAAATCTTAACAGAAGATTTTGTGATCTAGAAAGCTTCCAAACTGAGTAATTAAAGATTTTTAAGTTATATTTTGAGGTTATGGTCGAAAAAGGTATTAAAAAAGGCGTTTTAATTTGATTTTATCTCCTTTATACGCTAAAACCTTAGATTAAGTTACGACAACCAAAGTTGTCAAGGACTCTAAGGAGCTCAAGGCATATTTTCTGAGATGTACAAACTTTAGACACATTTTCTCCCCCTTCAATTCTGCGTCTGCAATTAAAATTGCTCATTGAGAGTCAAATTGGAAGTTGCTATTTGTGTTCTAAGACGATATTTGTGGATTTCAGACGTGATCATCCGTATTTGGCGCTTCTGGCTCAGCCACAAGTTCCACATTTGAGGAGGAATTTAACCCAGATATTTGGTCCAAATCACGCGACTCTCCCAAGACGCCCCGCGATCTTTATAGTGTGTTGCTTCTAGTAAAAGTTGGGCCATCGCTATTAATAATCACGCACGATTTGGCGGAAAGTCACACAATTATTAATTTGCCATCGGCGAGGCAGAATGGGGACTCGCGCATCTTTGGGTAATGATGATGATTGAATCGAATGCGTGGGTCGCTGCTGGATTTACACCGCGCACGCCATCCAGAGATCACTTGAAGATGACTTTCACTTGAGGATCGCGCGCACTCGAAGATCGTCCAGTGGAGACAAAGTGACGGTGATGAGAGACCGCGAGATTGAGATTTATGCTGAGCCATGTGCGTGCATCCTCCACGAGTGGCGTGTGGGCACAGAACTCTTGTGTCTTGCCTCCAAATTGCCATCTAAATAAGGAAGTTACATCAATAGCTCGCGTTGGGCGAACAGTGTCAAATCCAGTGCTGTTAGACACCCAAATGGGTTTGTCACTCTCCACATGTTCTTGGCCCGCGAGGATTGGTCTTGGCGCTGGTGGGAGACGCCAGCCAAGGCTGAGGCAGTGCGGCCAGAAGCTGTACTTGGTCTCCACTTGAGCCGTTTGAAGAAGTGTTGCGAGAAGTCAAAGAAATCAATTGCAAAATTGCACAGAATGGAATCACTTCTGAAGATAATTTCAAACGCTCTTTGAATAATTGGTAAATTCCCACTGAAACTGAGGAATGTTAAACTCAAAACATGTAAAACTTTAACACTTGAAATGAAAAAGAAAGAAGGAAAAGCAGCCCTTTTTATTCTCGCTAGAGCCGTGTTAAAGACTTTGAAGCAATTTCACATTGTGTAAAGGAAGGAAAATTTTGAAAATTGTCAAAATTATTGAAATAAAAGAATTAAATTCATGATAAAAAGAATTTATTGTAAATATCTTCCATATTTATGCTTGAAAAATAAAGCTACAATCACTGATTGATCGATCTTAGCAAGATAACTGCAGATTTAAATCTGTCACTCTGCTTTTAACACATTATTTGAAAATAACACATTCAGAATGGCAAATAATACAAGTTTTAGAGGGAATTGATCCACAATTCTCGATAATTTGTATATTTTGTGTGTATAAAAACTCTGTTGGATAAAAAATACACACAAGTACACCACTTCCGACTGCATTATCTCACCCTTGGCGCCAGCACTTCTTCAGATCCCGCACTAATGATCGACTAAAGAGTTGGTGTTTGTTATTCTCCGAACGGCAATTCTGATAAATACTAATTTTACGTCTTCAGCTCAAGTCATTCCACTTTATTGTCCATCGATTTGTCAGACTTCTAAACTATTTCCCTCTTGTCTTGACTTTCTTTCCTCCTATATTCAACTGTAAATCTGCCTCTGAATGGCCTTTTTGTTGTGTGAAAAATTCTTGCAAAAGCCTTTCGGGAATGCTGATCAAGGTGATCAATTAATAAGACGCTCACAAATTCCGTTCGCCTCCTCACATTTGGGAAAATATCAAATTCACATTTCAATTATATTACAATTCTCGACAATTTTTCAGTAATGACGCTCCATTGGGCTTAACCATGCCGTCGATGAGTGTGTTTTGGTCTTTGTTTTTCAAGCTTGAAATATCAAAAAGTTAGACAAACTTCACAACCTCAAATTCCACCTCGTGACCATTTACATTTCATTAGAGGCGCACATTGAAGAAGTGAAATATTTATCATCCAATTTTGTTTGAACAATTTTCTCGCCACTCTTCTGTCAAGATCAAATATTTGTATCTTGTGTTCAGTATTGGTTGGAAATTTCACAAAAATCAATTCTCCCGCGATCGATAAACAAACAATTTTTAAACTCCTCTTTTCTCTCTCTCTCTCTCTCTCGAAATTGTGTAATCACGAGACATTTATTGTGAAAAAAAAGAACCAAAATACTCCCATTTTCCACGATGGAATTCCATCGTCTTCATTTCGTGAAAGTATTAATTACCATTGCAAGATTGTGCGATTTACCAGTGATTTTGAAATTCTCTCTCTTCTCTGCATTTCATTAAAATTCTACCAAGCACTGGATTATGTGCAATTGTATAGAATTTTGTGGCAATTCACATGAGATTCCTCCCGTGAGCTCACAAAATTCCAGCAATTGCTGCTCTTCCTCCACTTTCCAATTCCGCATCACTGAAAATGCGTGATAAACTTCATTCGGTCTTCAGAAGTTGTGCTTCTCCACTCAAGATGATCCTATTGATCTGGGTTTTAGAAGATTTTTAATCCTATATAAGTCTAGTGAGGTTAAATAAATAGTTTTCTGGGTAATTTCCATGGAAAAAAGTGCATTTTTGACCTCTCAATTTAATTTTCTTTCAAATTCAAACTCCAAAACAACGTTTTCTTCTTCGCGAATCTTTGGTTTATTTTCAGCGCATCCAATTTTATTTGTTTCATAGAACAATTTCACCGTTTTTCTCAAAAAAACTGATATTCTATCTTGTTTTCCATTGAAAATTTATTTATAATATAATTGTGGACAATTTTTAAAGATTAAAAACCAATTTCTTAGCTGAAAAGCTTGCAAACACCAATGAATAGACAATATTACTTTAAGACTTGATCTTTAATCGAATATTTACGGTTTTACGCAAGGTTTTACGATAAAAACAAGTGAATCTTTTTATAAATCTATAAAGTGTCCTTTAA